ATTGTCTTCCTGCCCAGGGCAAGTCTGCAGGAGACAAAGCCCTCTGGGCAAGTGGCCTATGTCCCAGGTAGGTGAGCCTGTGCAGCCCTTTCCTGCCCTGTAAGGTAGAAGGGGGGGGGGGAGGAGAGGGTTGAGAGGTGGGCGGTGCCTGTGGAGGACAGAGGCCTGGATGGAGTGACAGCAGTGGCCAGTGTTCATGCAGCTGTGTGAGGACTTACAGAAGCCACGTGAACTCCTACACACAGAGATGGCTTCAGTCCTGGGGGATGGACCAGAAAGACCTTCACTGGGCGGGATAGGGATGGCTCTCAAAGGGCCTAGATCTAGAAAAGCCCTTTACCTCTATTTTAGTGCAATTGCGACTGTCAGGGTTGTCAGCCTTGCCCACTTCCTTTCAGTGGCTGTGACCTCTTTCAGAGGCTAGTGCTGTGACAAAGGAGCTGACCCAATTCCATCTCAAGTTCAAAATTAGGGTAGAAACTTAAGTTCCTTTGGGACTTGGCATGTTACCAGCTGAGGCCCCCACCCTCCGTGCCCTGGATTCTGCTCTCCCCTGAGCTCTCTGGCCTCCTGCACTGCACAGGTGTGTGGAGCCGGCAGGAATGGGAGCATGAAGCTCTGGGTGACACAGGCACCCAGCCAGCCTTAGGACAGGATCATCAGAGGCAGGGAGAGCAAAACGTTGAGACCAGGCAAGCTCAGAAGTGAGAAGATCTGAGTTCAAGGTCCAGCTTGAGGTCTCACTGAGTTGTGGATCCAGGAAAAGTTGCGCATCCTCTCCAAGGCCCATCCATAAGGTGGGAATCGTATTGGTGTCTGCCTGATAGGGTGACTAAACAAAAAAACCCCAAAACCTATGTCTGTAAATGCTCAGTCCTTGTGGCAGGCTGTGGGTGCACAGAAAGGGTTAGTTGCTATTTGAAGCTGTGTCATTATGACAGGGAGCTCTCTGCTTTCGAGATGGAGACTGAAGATCTAGCTTTATCTCTAGGGTGGCACTTCTAGTTTACATTGAGGAGGGATGGGGCATAGCCATGTCTGCCAGGTGCTGTAACCTCCAAGAGATGAGGAAAGGGAAAGCTGAGTCTGTCATTCAGGGTGCAGCATGATGAGGTTACAAGCAACCCTGTCTGTTCATACACAGTACCCACTTCTGTCTGCTAAAACCAGGGGGTTTCTTGGACTTACTGTGTTTCTCAAGTTCAAACCCAATTCTGCTTAATCTCTCTTGAGCCATATTCTTTTTTTTACAAGTTTAATGAATCTGTCTCTGAGAAAATTACACCCCAAGATATACGCAGGTTTTTTTTCTTTTCTTTTATAAAAGTGGTACAGAAATGTTACAGTTTCATAAGTCAGGTAATGAATACATTTCTTTTTGGACAGTGTCACCCCTTCCTTCACTCTCTATACAAGATTTCTGTCAACAGTTCAGCTTTATGTAGTTTCTCAGATTCCAGATTAAGCATCTTGTTTTGGACCATTTTCTTCTAACGGGACATCATCTAATGTCTGAATAGGCATCTGAACTCCGAATCTGTTTCAGAACCCAGCGGAAAGGTCACCTCAGGTAGAGATAACAAAATCGGTTTGGCAGCCCCCTCCTCCGTGGTCTCCCTGATTGGTTATCCTCTTAATTTGCATGATCTGATTGGTCATCCTTCTCTTAGATTTGCATGCTGTAATCACCCAGATCCTGGTTGCTCTCTTCTAAACTAGCTCCTTATTTTTCTCACTTGTTTGTCGCTCCTTTTGCTTATGAGGGTGAAAGGACAGCATATAATGAAGGTAAAAGACCTCCCTGCTTGAAATGTCGAGGCTAGAAACCTTTTTCTGTAAGTGTGGGAGGAGAAACTCAGAATTCCTATCAGATGTGCCATCTTTCAGGGGCTATGCCGGTCTCTGGGGACAGCTACAAGCCACCAGAGGACCAGATTGACTTAGCTTGCCAAAGATAAAGGGCTGTCAACAGGAGTTGGATAAGCAGGAGGCGCCACAGGAAGAGTCTCAGCAGGGTTAGATCCAGCGTGTGTAAGCGCGATGCCCTGGCAGGATGGAGGCTTTGAAGTTCCAGGCCATTCTATTAGGAAATACCTATGGCATCTGGGTAGTCACCAGCCTCCAGGTACCCAGGGCTGAACTGGTTGATCAGGGCAGCTGAGGCATCTGCTGTGTTGGAGAGCAGAGAGCTCTGGGTTGTTCTGGAGAGCTGTCTGTGGGAACGCCTTGCCCAGCTCCTGGGGGAAGGGCAGCCTGTGCATGGAGTATCAGGGCAATAGAAGCCCCGGTCTCCTGGTCGTTGGATAGATTGGAACCAGCAATTTGCCACAAGATAACCAACCTGAGTTTGGGGGAGCAGCAGGCTGAGGTTCCTTTCCCTCCTTGAGCACAGAATCCTCAGGAGGCGAAAGGGATCTTTAGTTCAAATACACAAAATAGGCTCTGGAGTAAGCCAACCTGCTTCTGAAATACTGACTGATGAGGTACTGGGATTTGGTTTCAGGGCCTTATGCTTGCTAGGCAGGTGCTCTACCTCTTTGCACAACATTCCCAGCCTTTTCTGCCTTAGTTTTCAGAGAGGGTCTTCTTTTTGTTTGGCTGGCTTCTGGCCATGACCCTTCTACTGTCACACAACACCACACACCAGTTTTTGGTTGAGACAAAAGTCTCAATAACTTTGCCTTGGCTGGCTTCAAACGGCAAAACCTTCCAGCTCCATGTTCTGCGTAGCCAGGAGGACAGGGGTGCACGACCACAGCCAACCCCTGACATTCATTTTAAAACTTCTGACAAAGAGCAAAGCACTCTGCCTTGCAGGTGAAACTTTGCCTTCCTGTCTGGCTCACATGGCTCCCAACTTCAGCCCCATGAGGAGGTGGGAAGGTATCTAGCTCTCATTTAATGTTTGTGACTCCATAGCTCTGACTTTAGTTACCGATGAGGGGTTCTTGTCTGAAAAAAAAGGGAGTTTCAAGCCCAAAGGATCCCCAAAGTGCTCTCCCCTTTCTGCAAAGTGATCTAAGGCAGAGGAGGATTCTGAAGGCTTCCATAGAAGGGAGGTTCTGTCCAGTTCTCAGCCACTCACCCAAGGCCATCTTGTGGACAAATGAGGCAACATCCCCAAGACACCGTTTCTAGGTTCAGGGAGTAGGAAGATGATGGCTCCCAGCCCTAGGGGGCAAACAGGATAACCAACATCTATGAGTGCCTAGAATGCTGGCCTGTTGCTCTCCATCCCTGTAAGAACCCCATTTTTCAGAGACTTTTCCCCCTCCTATATTCTGTTTTACATTCTGTGTATTTGGCATGAAATGGGACCCACCATTCCCAGGTCCTTGCTTAGTCCTCTGGATCGTGTTTCTGCGAGAAACACCTTTGCTTTGCTTGAAGCCCCAAAGGTGCTGATCTTCAGCCTTGGAACAAGGATGCCCCATTTTGCTCCACGGGAGTAGAAATGTGAAATCTGCTTGCTTACAAGGGTCAGCTCTCCAGGGCTCAAGGACTGGGATAGGTGCATGCTGGCTGGGGCCTATTAGTCACTATGAACATCGTCATCCTTCAAAGACTTTCCTGTCTCATCTATTTTTGTTCTCTTTAGTTGTGCAAAGGGGTTTCATTTCAACATGGCACTTTGTGAGTACAGTGTATCTTGTTTATAATTTTGGAAATTATGCAAAAACTTGAAGAAAATAAAAATCTTAGGGCTAGTGGTCTATAGCTTGGTGATAAAATTCTTGGCTTAGCTTGTGCAAGGCCCTGGGGTCCCATCCACAGGTCCTACTGAATCAGTCATAATCCTTCTAATCAGAGTAAACCACTACAAATACTTGAGGTATCGCCCTGCATGTTTCCTTTGTCTCTTTAGGGGAGTTGAGCTCATAGTGAGTGTATCATGGAGTCAGCCCTTTCACGCACATTACATCAGTCATCTTGCTCACTTTAGTCTTTTTTTTTTTTTTTTGGTTGGCCATGGGGCTTGAACTCTGGGCCTGGGCGCTGTCCCTCAGCTCTTCAGCTCAAGGCGATCGCTCTACCACTTGAGCTACAGCGCCACTTCCGGTTTTCTGGTGGTTTATTGGAGATAGGAATCTCATGGTCTCTCTTGCCTGGGCTGGCTTTGAACCGCGATCCTCAGATCTCAGCCTCCTGAGTAGCTAGGATTACAAGTGTGAATCACCGGCACTCTGTATATACTTCCAATAAACACTGTATATGTGTGTATATATATATATATGTGTGTATATTATACACATATACATGTATGTGTGTATATTAAACACATATACATGTATAACACATATGTACATGTGTATACAATATATATACATATATATACATACATATACACATATATACATACAGCAAGTATTTTAAAATATCTTACATGAGCCACAATCCAGCCCTATTTCCTATACATTTATATAGAAATAGCAAAGGAAGTATTTTTTTTTTGGTTCCAGTTGTGGGGCCTGAACTCTGGGCCTGGGCGCTGTCCCTCAGCTCTTCAGCTCAAGGCTAGCGCTCTACCACTTGAACCACAGTGCCACTTCTGGCTTTTTTCTTTTTGCTTATGTGGTGCTGAGGAATCGAACCCAGGGCCTCAGGCATGCGAGGCAAGCGCTGTACCACTAAGCCACCTTCCCAGCCCCCAAAGGAAGTATTTTATATCATTAAATTATTCATTTATTTCCAAAATGTGGAGCTATATTAATATACCTAAGGAAACCTATTTAAATCAATACCAACGGCTTAATAATGAATTCAGTTTACATATTTAAAGACCACCAAAATGTGTGAGATGTATACAGACAGACAGACATCCATATGTGCACACACATACATCGGATGGACGGATATGTATCAAGTATTAGAGGGCGTGAAATGGTTCCCAACCTAGTAGCATCCAGCCGGGTTGCGGCTGCGCCCCGGCGGCCACAGCGCCCCCTGCCGCCCGCTCCCGGCACGCCGCACTCACCTGCTGCTCTCGCTCCCGCCCGCAGGTATTGGCAAGAACGTCATCTGCGACCGCACGGCCACCCCGCTGGACGCCTTCCGCATGATGTCGGCGGCCCACTACTACCCCAAGCTCATGAGCATCATGGGCAACGTGCTGCGCTTCCTGCCCGCCTTCGTGCGCATGAAGCAGCTGATCGAGGAGGGCTACGTGGGCGAGCTGCTGGTGTGCGAGGTGCAGGTGCACAGCGGCAGCCTGCTGGGCAAGAAGTACAACTGGAGCTGCGACGACCTGATGGGCGGCGGCGGCCTGCACTCGGTGGGCACCTACATCATCGACCTGCTCACCTTCCTCACCGGCCAGAAGGCCGTCAAGGTCCACGGGCTGCTCAAGACCTTCGTCAAGCAGACGGACCACATCAAGGGCATCCGCCAGATCACCAGCGACGACTTCTGCACCTTCCAGATGGTGCTGGAGGGCGGCGTGTGCTGCACGGTCACGCTCAACTTCAATGTGCCCGGGGAGTTCAAGCAGGACGTGACCGTGGTGGGCTCGGCGGGGCGCCTGCTGGCCGTGGGCACCGACCTGTACGGGCAGCGCAACAGCGCGCCTGCGCAGGAGCTGCTGCTCCAGGACGCCACGTCCGTGAGCAACTCCCGGCTGCCCGAGAAGGCCTTCAGCGACATCCCCTCGCCCTACCTGCTGGGCACCATGAAGATGATGCAGGCCGTGCGTCAGGCCTTCCAGGACCAGGACGATCGGCGCACGTGGGACGGGCGGCCCCTCACCATGGCCGCCACCTTCGATGACTGCCTGTATGCGCTGTGCGTGGTGGACACCATCAAGAGGTCCAGCCAGACGGGCGAGTGGCAGAACATTGCGATCATGACTGAGGAGCCGGAGCTGAGCCCTGCCTATCTCATCAGCGAGGCCATGCGTCGCAGTAGGATGTCGCTCTACTGTTAGACCTTGTGGGGAGGCGGAGGAAGGAATCAAGCCTTCTGCCAGGGGGCCCCAAAGAGAGGATGTGTATAGGGAAGGAGGGGGGGTAGCCGGAAAGGTGAACCCCAGATAAAAGATCCCAGTCAAGAGTGTGGGTGAGCCAGCTGGTGGTGACTCAAGCCTGTAATCCTAGCTACTCCGGAGGTGGCCCTCTGAGGATCACTTAGATCAGGGGTTCAAAGCAGGGAAGGTCCTTGAGATTCTTACCTCCAGTGAACCACCAAAATACCTGGAAGAGGAGCTGTGGCTAGAGCACCAGCCTTGAGTGAAAAACAAAACAAAAAAAAAAACACCTAAATGACATCACTCAGGCCCAGAGCTTAAGTCCCAGAATCCTCACACACAAAAAAATGGGGTTGGGCTGAGTTCAGGGCCTAGGAATATTAGTTCTCCCCTTCCCCCTCCCTCCATTCTGGGTTTCACATGAGAGGAAGCAGATTTAACACCCTCTCCTTTTCTGGGCTTTTACTGTGAGAAGCCAGGAGGGGCTGGATTCCCTCCCTACCTCATCCACCCACACATGGTAGCCTCCCTTCCCTTGCTAGCCCAATAGCCCTACAAGGTCAAGGCTCTGTCTCAGACAGTAGGCTCACTGGAGGCCAGCTTCCCTCCACACCCCCCCTCCCAGACACTTTTCCTCCCATGCCCACATAAACTTGTTAGTCTAGGGAGAGCTGGGGGGGGGGGAGTTGAACTAGTGACAAAGTTTGAGTTCCAGAAAGCAAATTTTTGTTCTACTTGAAGTGTCTGCAGGAAAAAAAAAAATAGTTGCAGAGTGTACAGCTTCCTGGATGGTCTTCCTCTAGGAACCAAGGCTGTGTATAACCAGCTCCTAGCCCTTTACCTGGTGCCTTAGGGGAATGTTACTAATGGCAAAGGAAGAGAGCAAACACACTTCATCAAAATAGGTGTGAAAGATAAGCTGTCCCTCTGGGATTGTCAAAAACAGGAGCCACCCCAGAGGAAGGGACTATGGAGCATAGCAGAGGCCCCACGCTGAAGTGTCAAGGTGGCCCTGCCCTATGCTTCAGGCAGCCCTGGGGACACCTCCTCCCCCCATTCAGTATGGACTTGACTGCAGAGTTCTGTGCTGTCCTCCAGGACTGCGGGACAGAGCATGCTCCTGAACAGAAGGGAAAATGAGTCCAGTCTCAGAGTTGCTTTGGACTCTACCATCCCCACTCTTACCCAGCTAGGGAAGGCTGTTCAGGAATCTCAGCCAGAAGCCTCTTCCCTTAAGACAAATAGTTAAGGCTCCTTCCCTCACATTGGTCATGACTCTTGGGATTCTGACGCCTGAAAGTTTTTTAAGTATTAAGCAAAACAAAAGGATAATAAACACATTTTAGTATCATGAGCATGAGTTCAGAGCCCTCTGAACTCCCTCTGAGAGGAAAATGGACAGCAGACGAGTCAAATGTAGAAAACATCTTTGGCTGGCTCCCTGTCTGTCTTGTCTTTTTACTCTATTTTCAGAGCTTACATTATGGAGACAGCTAACCATAAGCTCAGCACTGACTGAGCCAAAAGGGAAAAAGCCAGCCACATACAGATACAGACACACATTTGTAAACGCTGCCATCAAATACCACTTAAATCATTTTGAAATATTCAAGTCTGCTCTCGAAAGAAAGACTAAGTGTGTTTTGAAAATGGGGAAATTATCTTTGCTCCCACCCTTTCAGCTCCCATAAGGCATTTACTTGCAAAGCTGGAGGTAGACTATTCCTTGTGAATCTAGCTTTAATCACAGACTCCCTGAAGTCAAACCAGTGTTTTTGGCCTGCAACTGAGATTTAACATTTTCAAGTATCTGGCGGTAGAAAGGAAGAGCCCATCCCCCAGTCTCAGAGTAGGAAACATGAAAATAGTCCAGCAGTCAGGCATGTCCTCCATTGTTCAGCCTGGAGCAGTACTCTCAAGGCCCTGGCTAGAACTGCAGCCATGGAAGGTCCAAACACCAGGGGTGTGATGGTGGACATTTTCCTAGTATAAAGAAGTAGGAACTGATTTGCTGAAAATCACACTACTTCCTGGTGTCCTATATGGGCCCTATTGGTTGACACACTTCATGGATAGCACTCCACATTTATAGCTTATCCAGTTCAAAACTGGAGATTTGATAGACTGGACATCTTCCAGTACTAGTTTGTGCAGAGGGCCGGGTGGTAGACTGCTTGGATTCCCAGTCTCTTTTCCTCTGGGAAAGAAGCTTTTGTGGAAACTGAGGGTTTTTTTTTTCCCTAGCAATCCCAAAAGGTTGTCATGAAGAATGAAGGGATAGAAAACTAGAAGACTCCACGGGGCTCACTTTTCTAAGTTATTTCTAATGTATTCTTGGAGTCTGATTTTTATATTTCTGTATTTAACCATGATACTTGAGAGTTTATTTTTCCTTCCAAAGGCCTCTGAGTTCTGTGATAAATATTCAGGATCGAAAACAAAAAAAAATGCATTTGAGGCCAGGGGGATATAGGAAGAGTATATATTCTTTAAAGAAGCATGGGAAACTACCTTAGTAAGTATACTCAAACTTTACTGAAATGCATGTTGTAGGTAGATGTAGGCACAAGAGGTAGACAAGACCTAGGTAGCTTATTGCTTAACTATTAAGAGACTTCTTGAGTGGGCTTCTACCCTTGGCTAAGCATGCACTGTGAAGCTGAGATCTCAAGTTACCAGCCAGATCTTATAGAAAGGACGTTCATTCAGCCTAGTACCCTCACAGCTGGGTACTACCTGCTGACTGACCAAGGACCAAGTCCCAGCATTAATCCACCCCCTTCCTCCCATGATCTATTTCAAGGGCCTAATGTAACTGACCTGGCACATTGAGGACTTCCCATTCGGTTTAACCTTGCATATCATCCCCCCCCCCAGCATTGTGTGGATGCCACTGGTTGTCTGTCCTAAAGTCCAGGTTCTCAGAAAGATTGTAGGTCAAGGTCTTACCAGGTATCCACAGGGAAAAATCCTGGTTGTTGGGAAAGTTTAGTCTTTTCTGGAGAACCTGTGGCGACCATCAGTTTCTTTAAGACTTCTCCCCTCTATGGGAAGATTACATTGTTGCATACTCCAATACACCTGAGTTTCCTAGAAGCAGATACCATGTCCTTTGTTGCCTGCATACACTCTCGGGGCCATCTTGGCTCATTCTAGGACTTATCCACTGGGTGCAGGGGGTTTAAGTCCAATTGCTTGCTTAAACCATAAAAGAACACCTGGTAATAATTGGGTTTGCTCATTCCCTTTTATACACAAGAAAGTTGCTTGCCCAAAGTCATCCATCTAGTAAGCAAAAGTGGGCTCCGTTGAATCACAAACCTCCAAACCTCCATTTGTGCTTATGCTCTTCCTGCCCTACAGAAAAAGCCTTCCCTATCCAGCCCTGTGGGGGGAGCCATCAGTTCCCCAGGAAGTAACTATGTGTTGAAAAGACTGAGACCCACAGCTCCACTCAACCACAGATACCACAGTTCCTGGTGAACACGTCGACACCCTATTTGATGTTCATCCAGGAAGTCATTAGTGCTGCAAATAGAAGTAGTCCATTTTCCTTCCCCTTCCAAATGGAAATAACACTCAGCTTCTTTTCAAATGGAATTCCTAAGTTGGGTTTTGATTGTAGGTGAGGCAGTTACCCTCAGAGTTGGGGATTTCTAAAACGTGGCTGGCCAACGATTAGCTGGCCTTGGAACTTGCTGGGAGTGGGTGGCTGGGCCGGGAAGGAGGTATTGAGGGCAATATAGTAATTGGTCTTTCTCAGGGAGTGGGGCTTTTATGGTTCATTTGTTAGTGACATGGACTTGAGCTGTGCATTTGTACTGTCCTGCTCTCCTCTGCATTCCTGCTCTCATGGCTGCAGCTTTTGAATTTGACCTGGGATGATAAGCTAAGTTTCTGATCTCTTTTACTTTGGTGGATATAGGAGATGAAATCAGTTATTGATATTCTTGGGCAGAGAGTCAATCCAAAGTGACTTCAGAGTATAAGATAGTCGAATCCTTTCCTCTTATATCCTAGAGAGGACAAGTGATATAGCCCAGGCTATGGTTTTCTGATTCTAAAATCTTACACTGCCTCACTCAGCATGAAGTTGAAATTAGAATCTAGACCTAAATTGGATCCTCTGAGCTGTGGCCAAGTAATATTTTTTAAAGATGAACTCAATTATGTCTTGAATGTACTTAGAAAACTAGTTGTTTAATTTTTTCCCCCATTATAACTATAATGTGAACAATGGTCTCTTTGTTGTCTTATGTAGCAAGGATGTGAGACATGAATTCAGGTTTCCATCTTTGGAATTTGCTACGGTCTACTCTACTTCAATCCCTCTGCCTACTCCATGGCTCCAACAGGACTTAGGTTTCAGCCTCTGACTCCACCCACTGCCTACTTTCTTTAGCCATCAAGAGCCCTAGAGTTTGCTGGGTAGAAGCCATGCCATTGGAGAGTTGGTTGGAAAAACATCAACGAGCAAGAATCCCATTATTTCACTTCCCTTTGGGGAGAGGGAGGAAGGCAATGAAAGAAAAGTTGTGTAAGTCTGCAGTGTGGTTCCACAATGTTTATTGGCAATGGAAATGCCATGCTGCTTCCTTACCCTGGGCAGAGGAACCAGCAGAGAGCTCTGAGTATTAGGGGACAGTCCAGATGAGCTGGAGCTGCTGGGATGTCTCTCCTGCAGAGAAAAGACCACCTGTGCTGCTCTGAAAGCGATGGGTCCAACAACGATGGGAGTCTGGTTGGGAAGCAGCACTGTGGGAATAGACAATAATAGCCTACTGGCCCTTTTCTCCCCTGCATCCGAGTCCTTATTTGCTGGGGCCCTTAAGAGCAGCTATCAAAGCATCCGGCTCTCTCTCCTAGCTCCTGAAATATTGCACTACTGAATACTCTTGAATCTGCTGCAGCCCTTTCTGTTTACACCAGCAGTGAATAGAGCGATAAAAAGAACATGCCATATGCAATG